AGAGTAATGTCTTTCGTGCATTTGAATACGGGCTAACGTCCAAGTATAATCGAGCTATAAGTCAAACTTCACAATACAATACTTACACTTGCTTATCGCGTTATTAGAAATGTCACATTAAAATTTAACATTTTCGTTATTGGAAAGCTCATCGATGTATTCCGAAATGTACATCAGTATACTGGCCAGTGGTAATGACGTCACGAATCCAACGCCATATTGTACACACCTGTACCTACCATATTTTACCGGGAAAACGGATATGACGTATGACCGAGCGTGCATGAGTGCATTTTTATTTAAAGAACAATAATGGCGTCCGAACAAAAATAATTCCTTTTGATTGATGAGGTGAATAAAAAATCTTCTTTATGTTTTTAATTATTTTTTAAGCATTTAACTGCTAAATGTTTAAATCTAAAGAAAAGTTTACTAGAAAAAAAAATCCACGCGGACCAGGCAGAGGACGGGACTCGAACCCGCACCTAGTAAACTTTTCTTTAGATTTAAACATTTAGCAGTTAAATGCTTAAAAAATAATTAAAAAGATAACTATAATTGCTATTTCTTCTTTCAAATGTTTAATACTTGAAAAAGTATTCATTTGACATTGTGGGTTACCTACAATGCGAAGAGATGGCGCTGCCTTGCAGCTTAAGGCTAGGAAAATTTCGACGCGGCGAATAGGGCCGTGGTAGCATAACGGTCAGTGCATTCGCCCGGATTGCGAAGGGTGCGGGTTCGAGTCCCGTCCGCTGCCTGGTCCGCGTGGATTTTTTTCTAGTAAACTTTTCTTTAAATCTTCTTTATTCGCACTATTTTTAATATTTCGTCAATTTACGACATCAGTGCACTGGCCAATATATTTCGGAACAATCCACCAGTATAGCGCCGATTCATGACGTCATTAGCACTGGCCAGTTTACTGGTATATATTACAGAACACACCCCATATCTTACAGAAGAGCAGAACACTGCAATCTATAAAATGGTTTATAATTGCATAAGGTGTCAGTTTAACAACTTATTTCATTGCAGTAAAAAACTAAATTTGTTTAAGTATAGAATCTCAACAAATCAATCTTAGAATAATTTTACATTTCTAGCGTCGTAATTTCATTTATTTCAACCGCTCCTAGACCAACTAACCTCTGCTAGCTAAGAAAAAATATATATATGCTATAATTTATAGCGCAGTCCTTAAGAATTACACTTTAACCACAATAGTATCCAGTCGATTACCATCTAGTCGATTGCATTTAAATAAGGTCCAGACGAAGAATAGGGTAGTTGACAAGTTTTAGAAAACGATCATTCTGTTGTGTATTTCAGTAAAAATAACCAAATCAAAAACTCCATTTTCAAGTTGCCGCGAAAACGTTTATCTGGACAATATGGCGTCTTACTAGTGTGTGACGTCACACGACTGTTATAAAACGTCAAACGATACAATGTAATGTCACTTTATCCGGAAGTTTACTTGCGTGTGACGTCATTTTAGGCTCCGCCAATCCCAAGCGTTTTGGGTCACGTGACAATAGACAAGAGAACTATTAACTTTATCGTGGGTTTTTAGTAAAATTATGAATATTTTTTCTGTAAAAATAGTAAAAACTCCTGCCAATATTCATTCTTAATACAGATGCTAACAATTGGCACTTTATTTTTAATACTGTCAAATACCCTATTGTATAGTCCTGCACTTAAAGGCGATCACAGCTTCTAATGTAAATCTCGGTGAAAATATCTCGTAGCTATCAAACAATTTTCGATTCCGCCTTAAAATGCAAAATCACCAATTCACTGATTTCGAAGTTCGGTTTCAGTTCGGTCGTTAGCCCGAATACGAGCGCCAATGGAATTCAGTACCCTTAGCACGCACCATTGTCGAATTCGAATAATTTACAAACCGAAATGTCAATGTCAAAGGACAATGGGCAAAACGCACCCAGCTCCGCCAATAATGTAATTAATATGAATCGATAGATCTATGAAAAACTAGCCTTTTTTATTATGACACCGAAAATAAATATCCTGGGAGTCAAAAGATATGACACCGTAAAAAATATCCTGGTAGTCAATATATATGACGCATGGGCATATTTAAGTAGCTGAATAAATTCATTTTATAGTAGGTACCTTCATTTTATATTATTAATAATCATAATAATATGCCATATCGTACTATACAACCAAATATACGACAAAGCCTGTCAACCATCCTACGCTTGCTCTTACTGAGACATTTCAAAACGGTTAATAGATGCTGAAGGACTTGCAGTTGCAAATAGTCGACTTGTCTTACTTCGTTGTGATTGTGCTCTCTGCTACTTGATTGATTTTTATCTAACACGCTTTGGATATTGGAACACGATTATCGGTTTTGTCAATTAGGAACTGGAGTCATGTGTTCTCCGAAGCGTGGGCAAGTTTGTGTAATCTTTGGTCGCTCCGTTTTACATAGAAGACAATTTACTATAACGAACAGAATGTTTAAAAAAAAAACAACCCAAGCGGGGATTTTTGGATTTACTCTAGCGCGGCAGAATAACATAAGGGGGCACCCTTGCACCTTGTGAAGTACTCCCATAATTCCTGAGCACCCTATGTAGGGTCGAACTAACTAAATTAATTCCCTTGTTTCATTAATGTTCGTTCGTTATAGTACTTGTACATATTTAACTTAAAATAACTAAAGACCCCCGGGATGGAATTTGATGCGCTTTGGCACAGATGATCTCGACTATAATACCTTTCAATCAAATGTAGTTCAAGCCGTGGCGGCCGTGGGTGCAGCGTCCATACATTTTTGCCCAATGTCCTTTTGTATGGAAACTTGCAGTGGCGGATTTACAAATTTGCCGCTAATAGGCTATTAAATTCTTGCCTCCCTTACTGACCTTTGAAATTCAATACGCTAGTTCACAATTATATTTATTCTGAAATTGCAACTTTGTGATTTGTGTTCTATCGTCCACATTGCGTCGGCTTTTCCCCGTTAGTTTAAAAAATTACTAAATTTAAATTGTAATTAATATTGAAACGCTAATGGAATATTTTAAAAATTCATTATCGCATAAGTACATACCTATATTTTACAGTGCGTTTAGTAATATTTTATATACGGATTATGGACGTAAGTGTGTTGAGTATACTGTGCATTACTAAAACATTAAAATTTTTGTCACTCGTTTTTCTGTGTAGATTTTGGGCCAAATTTGCCGCCCTAGGCTCCAGCCTACTGAGCCTACTGGTAAATCCGCCACTGGGAACTTGAACAGCAGCGGCACAAAGTACGTAAAGAGAACTAAAAATCAATACACATTTGACAATGACTTTTCGGACTCGCAAACGATACGAATTCGATATTAGTTCGTGCTAGGGATACAGGTACGGAGAACGGGAACGGAGTCGAGTAGTCCCGTTTTCGGGTAGTTTTCGTTTGTTTACTCGACATCGTCTTCCAGCCCGTATTTCAGTGTAAATATTGCTTCGGATGCCCGAATTCGTGTTATGTGTTTCGTGCTAACGACCGCATGTAATAGGGGTGATGACTATTTTTGTTTCTTCGTTTATCAGGTAGATTATCAAAAAGTATTGGACGCGTATTTTTTCTTTTTTCACACAATATAAACATTGCAGAGATATATTGATTTGAAAAGTCGCATGACGTCACGTTTGAGTACACTTATAAGTGAAAATTCACTCAAAAGTGACGTCACGAGCCCCTACTCCCAAACTTTGACGCGCTATAACTTTGTCATTTTTTGGTTGATTGCCCAAAGAAAAAATACGTGTCCATTATTTTTTGATCATCTAACTGACGCACTAAATAGAATTTCGTTTACTGTACCCCGTCATCACCCCTATTGCGGCATCATAAAGCAAAAACCACCTCGAATGAATTATACATTTTATGACGATAATATAAAATATCAAAAGACAAAACTTGCAGTTTGCGTAAGTGATTCATGTTGCTTAGGACTTCTTTGATGTGTGTATAACAATTCCAAAGCAAGGGCGGATCCAGAAGGGGGGTCATGGGGGTCATGACCCCCCCCCCCCCTGGGCTGGGTTCATCTGTACCCACTTCACAATCTGTACCCACTGTTACTTGACCACGACTATATGACCCCCCCCCCCCCCCCCCCGGCGCCAAAGCTGGATCCGCCCTTGTTCCAAAGCCACCTTGCTTTAACGAAATCACAAAGACGATTCTGTAATGTTGTTTTGGACACAACTGTGAACTGACTGTTTATAAAAGATGCAAATTCGTGGTCACACAGAACGCTCAGAAACGTATACGTTTACTCGACTGATGAAATGCCATGATTGTCATGTCGCGTTTGTAATGCAGCCAAGTGTAATACTTGGCTATTCGTGTTCGCTATTCGTAAACTTGACTTAAGTTTATCTTTATCTACTATATAAAAATAAGTCGGGTTTTCCTTCCTGACGCTATAACTTCAGAACGCACGAACCGATTTCCACGGTTTTGCATTCGTTGGAAAGGTCTCGGGCTCCGTGAGGTTTATAGCAAAGAAAATTCAGAAAAAATTAAAAAAAAAACGTTTTCTTTTAATCACAAAACGAAATGTTACATAAAACGAAGCTATCTGGTGGCGAAACGGAGTTCGCTGGGTTTGCTAGTCATCTATATATATAAAACTCAAAGGTGACTGACTGACATAGTGATCTATCAACGCACAGCCCAAACCACTGGATGGATCGGGCTGAAATTTGGCATGCAGGTAGATGTTATGACGTAGGCATCCGCTAAGAAAGGATTTTGATCAATTCTACCCCCAAGGGGATAAAATAGGGAATGAAAGTTTGTATGAAACTTTGTCAATTTTAAACCGATCGGGCTGAGACTTTGCATGCAGGTATAAGAAGAATCATAGATGAATGTCATTGTGTATAATACAAGCCTGAGAACAAAAACTGTAGTCTACACTTCAGCTCTACACCGAAGCGAAGCGAGGGCGGGCCGCTAGTGTTTCATTAGGAATGAAAAGGACAGACTGATGTCAATTTCACAAATAGCAAATACGAATAGCCAAGTGAAGTGCCGTCATCAGGCGTCAAGTGTGTCGTTGTTTAGTGTAGTGAATTGTAACAAACATTATCACTCTGAGTACGTGCAAGTGAGTAAATAGAATGGAGGATGGTGCGGCGCCGTCAGACGACTCAGATACCTGAAATTAAATTTATTTATTTATTTATTTGATCACCAACATAATAAACATTGACACAACAATCTAGCAGGTAATGATAAAATACTTAAGCTTAATGTCATTACAGTTATAGTTGAAGACCGCATGCGTTATGGAATAAAAGCAACAAATGCTGGTAAACTGTCAATGAAAAAGCTTTCTAAGATTAAAAAAAATACATATAATAAACAATGTCCCGGTTAAAATCAATGCATTATAAAAAAAATGAATCGAAATTAATTAGAATAAAGTCAATTTATATAAATTATAAAAAAAATGAATCCGAATGTGCAATGTGCGTGCGTGCGTGCGTGCGTGTGTGTGTGTGTGTGTGTTAAAAAAATAATTAAAAGGAGAAATTATATTCTATTGAATCTGTCCGAGGATGCATGTGAGCCATACAGACTAGATATAGTTATAATTTTTATTATTTTAAAGCATATAACTGCTTATGTTTAAATCTAAAGAAAATATAACTAGAAAAAAATCCACGCGGACCAGGCAGCAGATTACCTATAGCAGGTTACCTATAATGCGATGAGATGGCGCTGCCTTGCAGCTTAAGAATGGCTAGAAGAATTTCGACGCGGTCCGTGAAGGCCGCGGTAGCATAATTGGTCAGTGCATTCGGCCGGATTGCGAAGGGTGCGGGTTCGAGTCCCGTCTGCTGCCTGGCCCGCGTGGATTTTTTTCTAGTGACTAGATATAGTTTCAGTATTCTGTAACATTCACGAGCTCGATGGCGCGGATGGTTAGCGCTTTCGCTTTGAAGTTAAGCAACTTTGCAGTGGTCGGTCATTGGATGGGTGACCGAAAATCTTCTATCTCGATTTTCTCTATGCTTCGGAAGGCACGTTAAGCTGCTGGTCCTGGCTGCATCTGCAGTCGTTAGCACCCGCCAATCCGCACTGGGCCCGCGTGGTGGATCATGGCCCAATCTTCTTATTCCATCCATAGGGAAGGCCTGTGCCCCAGCAGTGGGGACATTAATAGGCTGATGATGATTCTGCCACACTAGGTGTACGAGCCAGTGTGATCACGTACACCTTTTAGTGTACATGATAGTTGTTTGTAGTATGCAGGTAAAGAAGTCACCAAAGTTAGATACAGTATAAATTCCATGTAACTCTAATTCTTTGTTTTCCAAACAATGATACACTCCATATAGCATTACACCCACTCTCAATAACGACAACAATTAAGTAAAAAAATGCGTGCGTGTACTTATGTAGGCGCGTGAGAAGTTATCCTTCTTTGGCATCGTTCAAAATTAGTTTTTAATTGCATGCAAATAATTAATTACAATAAATTAATAAAAAGTCTGGAAAAGGACACAGTCAATAAAGTTCAGTTTTAATTTGAAAAAATAAATAAATAATCAAAATATTCAATTAAAATCGCTACTGAATATAATTTATTAGAACATATGTGATTTGCACTTGTATGAAACTCAAACACGTATTCCGAATATACAAACTAGAAACATGTGGATAAATATTATAAATATGAATACCTATAACTGTTACTTTATTACAAAAAATAAAGATGTGGTTTTTGGTTCTACTACACCAATGGTCAAGAGATGGCGCTGTAGTCTATAATAGAGATTCTATTTCTATTTTGTTGGTAGATTTTCTTAATGTGCGGTAAACACAAAAGTAACGCATGAAGTTGGTCGCTAAAGCGACCAACTTCATGCTGTTAAAATTCTGTGTTACAGTGATGCGCGCGCATCTTAAAATTTCACTCTCATCATTTTTTCATAACGCGCCTAAAGAAGTATAACTTCAAAAAGTACCTTTTAAGTTGTCAAAATTAGCGAAAATCGCGCAGCTGTGTACGTTCTTTTGTCGCTTTATTATCCTAGCCCGTAATAAACTCGACTGCCGGCATCATGCAAACCAAACTATCTAAGAAATTCTTTCTTTTGTTTACAAATTGGGATTTTATTGTTGTTGACCATGACAAAAAAAACTATTTAACAAAATTACTTGTGCAGCAAAAAACGTCAGAGAAGAATAACAGAATATACGCAATAGCTTTCAAATAAGTTTTTTTTTATGTACATAACTGCTAGCTTGAAATAAACTTTTTCTTTTCATAATTCTGATTTGTCTTCTTTCCATTTAACGACAACTCTCTATAACGCCATAAAATGTACAGTCCCTTTAGTTATATAGAGTTTACACTGTATGTATATTTATTGCAGCCGAACATAAATACAGATAAAATAATTAGGAGTTGATTCTTTGCTTGACTGTTTCGAATGCGCGCTCATAACGTACTCGTGTAATTAATATATAATATCAATAAAATTAACTATTATGACGCTCGACTAGGATTACCAACCGTCCGGACTATATGCCTTTTGTATGGACTTTGTGCGGCTTTTTGATTTGAATTTTTAGAATATGAGTTAAACTACTTATTAAGTTACCTATATCAAATAAGTCACAAAATCTTTATTGAGTTCTCATTAATTTAAAACAAAATATAAATTATCTTTAAAAATCAACAACGAGACCCTCTTCGCATATAATATCACTATAAGTAATTGGGTGAGTTTGCATTTTGTGACTAAAATGTCCGGACTTACATCGAAATGTCCGGCATTTTGGAAGAATTTTTAAATAGTTACATTACGGGCGACCCAAAGTGGCGTGCCAGCTCAGTATGTGCGCTGATGAGACCGTACACTAGGCTTGACACATCGTAAATATATTCATAGTCAATTGTTTGGAAAAACCAGGGCTTGAAACCGGTATCAAAAATACCGGTGAATAAAGGTTAATACCGGTTTTTAGTAAAGGTTTCATTTGGAGTGCGTCCGAAATGAAAGCGGTACCTAAAACCTTATTAAACCGGTTTAATTCAGAGCGACACGTGCACTCGTCGACATCGCTTGACGTTTGTTTTGTTTGAACTAATCAAGTCACAATTTGTTAATGCTCAGAGACTGATGCATTTATTGACACGTTTGCTAGCGTCTAGTGAGTCAAGTTAGTCATTTTGCAGTAGTGTATTTATTGCAGCCGTCAGTAAGAGCGAAATGAAACCCTTTAAAACCGCAAAATTTATTCAAAACCTATTTGATTTCGCTTTTTAGGAAAACCGGTTTTTTAAGGTTAAGGTACCTTAAAAAACCTAAATAAAACGCTCGTAATGTATTGACACTGATTTAGGTTTGAAAAAAAACCGGTAAACAAGCCCTGGGAAAAACATACCAAAGTACCAGTCAAAACGCGTGTGTTTCATTCGTAAGTTTTGTAAAATTGTTTGTAAAACAAAATTCCACGGCACTCACCTAGTAAAAGACGCTGCCCCGGCGTCGCAATACACCAGATTCAAGGCATTATCATGCGGAGTGAGCGACAGTAGGGCTCCGCCCGCGGAGTCTTCGGGCGCCACGTATACGACGCCCCCTCCCGCGCCCCTGCCGCTCCCGCTGCCGCTATCGTTAGCGCTAGCGTCGCCGCTATCGTCGGCGCTATCGTCGTCGCCGATACCCGAGCCGATGTACATAGTGACCTCGAGTCGCGGCTGCTGGTATTCCTCTCGGGGCGGCAGAAGCTGCACCAAACATTCATCATTAGCCTTATACTTTAATACTTTTTGACACTAGTATGTCCTGTTTTCTGAATAACAGTACTTAACTTATGCTTATTGCTATTATGAGTAACTGCTATTTTTGGGTGGCGGTTGCGGTTGCGTTATCAATCATGTATATTTTGAATTTAAATTGATTTTTTTAGACTGAAATGAGTTGCTTCGCTTTGTTTTTGCATTGCTTTGCTTGCTGTTTTTAATGAGAATTTTATTTATCTAGCAAAAAAGAGCTATAAGGGCTATTTATCAACTTAGTTTTAGAACATCTCTTAGAGAAAAATTTAAAGAAATCGGGATTTTGACTGTTGCTTCTCAATTCATTTATAATTGCATACTTTTTGTTCGAAGCAATATTAACTATTATCTAAAACACAGTGACATACATTCTTTTAATACAAGGAATAAAAATAAACTCAAGATACCAAAATTACAGGTTACAGAAGGTTCATAAATCATTTATGGGTCAAGGTATACATTTCTATAATAAGATTCCTATTGATATCCTTGATTTGCCTCCTCATAAATTTAAAATACACATTAAGAATTGTTTACTTAAGAAAGGATATTATACTGTCAATCAATATTTGAATGATGAAACGGCCTGGTTGTAATTTTACCTGTAGATAATTTTTCAAAAGTTATATTAAAACTAAGGCTCCCAGCCTTAGAAAGAGTTTTGAAGAGAACCTTGCACTTACTCCCTTTCATATACTTGTTCATTTTGTTTTGAAAATTGTTTCTTGCTATTTTGGGACTTATCTTTGCACTTATTGTTAGTAAATTCATTGATTGTTACATATTTGACATTATGTGATGGAAGTTGATCTCAACACATGTTTGCAAGTTTGATGTCAACTTTCAATTGGACGACACTGTATGAAATAATACAGGGTGAAAAAAGCAGCCCTTGCTGAGTTTCTTGCCGGTTCTTCTCAGTACAAGGTCTCCCGCCGTAGTTTTGCGAACCGATGGCGTAGCTTTTCGACATTCACAAGTGCTTGTAACAGCCTAGACTGAATAAACGATATTGAATTTTGAATTTTAATGTTGTGTTTTTGATTGACTTTTTTTTTATCTTAATTTTTTGTTACTTGAAAGCAAAGGATGTTAAGTAAATACATCCTTTCAAGTAATAAAAATTTTTTTACACGTCTTTTTTTTGTGTCACTATTAGGCCCTGCCAGAATAACAGCGCTGGTGCGATACAATGTCGCATCAGCTAATGCTGAGGCAGGGTTTTTTTATTTGTATCTGTAATGTGTAATATCTGTAATATGTGGGTTAATAAAATTTTATTCTATTCTATTCTATCATCATCAGCCTATTAATGTCCCCACTGCTAGAGCACAGGCCTTCCCTATGGATGGAATAGGGAGATTGGGCCATGACCCACCACGCGGGCCCAGTGCGGATTGGCAGGTGCTAACGACTGCAGATGCAACCGGGACCAACGGCTTAACGTGCCTTCCGAAGCACGGAGGAGCTCGAGATAGTAAATTTTTGGTCACCCATCCAATGACCGACCACTGCGAAAGTTGCTTAACTTCAACGATCGCAGCCGAACGCGCTAACCAGTTGCGCCATCGAGCACCAAACGTTACTCGATACTTTATTCTGTCTATTATTTATTTATTTCAACTTTTAATCTAAAGAAAATATTACTAAAATAAAATTCACACGGAGGAAGCAGCAGACGGGACTCGAACCCGCACCCTTCGCTATCCAGACGAATGCACAAATCCCCAATGAAAATCTAAAAGAATCTCAGATATTATTAATAAAGTGTTTAAAGACTTATATAGATAATTACATAAAATGTCTGTAAAAAATGTTAAGGCTGGGTTGTATTCAAATGTAAATACAGATGTTAATGTAAATAAGAATTGTATAAGTTTTTTTTGACGTGACAACGTCTTAAATTAGGTTGCGGCTGGGAGTCACTTATGAAAAAGTGTAACGCTCGGTAACGTTACGATGAGTCTCTCGTGTTAAGTTTAAGTTTACATGTACAATGTTTTAGTAAACAAAATATATTTCTATAGTTAAAATTTGTGCAATTCTTATTTTCATTCAATTCCTTGTTCCTATTGTGCAATTTAATTATATTCATATCAATAAATATTCTACCGAGAAAAAGACGTTGTCACGTAAAATCTTCGCCCGTAAAACCGACTTTACAGGCAACCATTTTTTTTTTAGTTAAGTATTTCAATGTCTTAATTAAGGCTTATGTAAATAAAATTAGTGACATTAAAGAAAATAACACAATTAAGACCATCAGAAAATTAAAGAAAATTACTGATTTATAATAGGGTATTTGACAAGTTTTAGAAAACGATCTCACGTTATTGACTTATGTTTATGGAGTCCGCAAAAAGTGGATATTCATCATTCTGTTGTGTATTTCAGTAAAAATAACCAAATCAAAAACTCCATTTTCAAGTTGCCGCGAAAACGTTTCTCTGGACAATATGGCGTCTCAGTGGTGTGTGACGTCACACGACTGTTATTTAAACGTCAAACGATACAATGTAATGTCACTTTAACTGGAAGTTTACTTGCGTGTGACGTCATTTTAGGCTCCGCCAATCCCGAGTGTTTTGGGTCACGTGACAATAGATAAGAAAACTATTATCTTTTTCGTGGGTTTTTAGTAAAATTATGAATATTTTTTCTGTAAAAATAGTGGAAACCCCTGCCAATATTCATTCTAAACACAGATGCTAACAATTGGCACTTTATTTTTAATACAGTCAAATACCCTATTTGACTGTTGTTTTATAATAATAATAATAATATCATTTATTATCAGACAACACAGATCCATATGTTAGTATACAATATAACTTATAACTAAGGGTTAGTAGCCTATAAGTAAGTATTCACACAAGTAGAAAAGTTTTGCAAATTTAATACGTCATGTACCTTAGAGGCACTCCGCGCGGGCGACACCAGGAAGAAATAATTAACTTCTATTTCAGTCATCATTCGCACGGAGTGCCTCCAAAATGGTGCATGCGGATCACCTGCAAACTGTTTTAGTTATAATTGAACTAGCAAACCAGTGAACCAAATGTTCACCAAAACGCCTAGCGCCGCCACTGACTCTACAACAAGTGGAAGTGTCCCTCTAATAGAAAGAGAAAGACGATGAGAGACATGCGCATTGGCAACCGTAAGCATCTTACTATTTCGACTTACATCCACAAAGCATGTACAAAAAAAAATTAAAAAAAAAAGCGTATACATATAATAGAATATTCGTTAAAAAGGGGATGGACAATATGTCCAAATTTATATTAGTTAAGTAGACATAAGTGAGCATGCCGCATGTTTGCATGATTAAATATAAAAGGCCGCACTGAGTGCACAAACAAATGTATATAACAAAACTTAAAAAAAAAGTCAAACTAAATAATGGCATGGGCATACGCCTATGGAGTAATTGTATTCAAAAAAAAAAAAAACTATTTCGATGTGATGCCTTTGGACACCATGCGTCACAAGAGACAGCGATAGCTAGCGGTCTCTCATCTTCCCTCTCTTTCTACTAGACGGACACTTTAAGAGCCGCCTTCCCCACTGTATTGTTATAGCTACATGGTTGTGTTAGAGCCTGGGTTCCGAACCTGGGGGTAATTACCCCTCCGGGGGGTAAATCAACCATACTTCGGGGGTAACAAAGAACCATATTATTTGGTCAAATCTAAATAATAAGAAAATATCTCTTATCTATTAGACAAGTCCGTCCGTCCGTCTGTCTGTGGTGCTGTTTCAGCGGCCAAACCGTAAGAGATAGATATAGAGAATGTTTAAGTTATAAGTTAAGAATAGTCTGATAAGACTACAAACCGGATGTGAGTAACGTAGCACTTCCGGTTTTCGAGAAATCACGTGATTTCTATTTCAAACGAAACCACACAAAATCTCCGAAGTTCTCAATTAATTAAATATTTTTTTTTTATATTTTTTTTTTTGGTGAACATTTGGTTCACTGGATTGCTAGTCTCTTATCTATTAGACAAGTCCGTCCGTCCGTCCGTGGTGCTGTTTCAGCGGCCAAATCGTAAGAGATAGATATAGAGAATGTTTAAGTTATAAGTTAAGAATAGTCTGATAAGACTACAAACCGGATGTGAGTAACGTAGCACTTCCGGTTTTCGAGAAATCACGTGATTGCTATTTCAAACGAAACCACACAAAATCTCCGAAGTTCTCAATTAATTAAATATTTTTTTTTTATATTTTTTTTTTTGGTGAACATTTGGTTCACTGGATTGCTAGTCTCTTATCTATTAGACAAGTCCGTCCGTCCGTCCGTGGTGCTGTTTCAGCGGCCAAACCGTAAGAGATAGATAAAGAGAATATTTAAGTTATAAGTTAAGAATAGTCTGATAAGACTACAAACCGGATGTGAGTAACGTAGCACTTCCGGTTTTCGAGAAATCACGTGATTTCTATTTCAAACGAAACCACACAAAATCTCCGAAGTTCTCAATTAATTAAATATTTTTTTTTTATATTTTTTTTTTGGTGAACATTTGGTTCACTGGATTGCTAGTTATATAATAATACTACTAAATAGAGCATGCGCTCCTTTTTGCTAGCGAGCCCGCGGGGTGCTGAGTGTGGGAAGCGGAGCGAGATTTCCTCCTGATGATGACATTGTTAAAGACGAAGATGTAGCGGCCAAATTGGAATTTCTTGGACAGATGATAATATTTTAAAGACGGGGTAAAATCTGTTTTCCTTATAGGTTACAGGGGTAGCAATATTGGAAAGGTTAGGAAACACTGTGTTAGAGGGACCGACCGTGGAGTTTTTGGCGGGATTTCATCGAGTGCGGTTGGCGTCTTATTTTAATTATTCTTAAATTCGTTCATAGTGGATATTGTGAAATAAAATTGGTGTGGTTTTGTGTAACAACCGTCTGCGTAACCGAAGAATTAGTAGAATCGTTAAAATATACGCTATTCCGGTTAAGTGGACGTGAGAATTTTATTGTAGTGTTGACTACCTCACAGAAGCTTATCGAAAAAGCCAACTTGATACATTTCGTACCAAACACTCTAAGAAACATTAGAATGCGTCACACCGACATTCTAATGTAAAAACAAAAAGAAGATTAATTTAATTAAAGACTAGGCTGTATGGGCATTAGACGCGGAAGAATCCCTAAACGGGGATCCCGCGGCTTCGCGCTAAGCAGCTTAGTGAGTATTCGCAGGACTTTTTTAGCGGATATTATGCCGTAAAGCGCCCGTAAGGGTTGCGAGGTCCTCGGTGGACAGCCACTGGGGCGCCCGTAACACTTGCGGAAGCCAGGTGTGAGGTCCGTTCGGCGGTGTGCCTCTTAAAGGCGCCGTCGTCTGTAAATAGCATTTTTTACCTGCGTTAAAAAAAAGGCTGTATGGGCATTGTTCCCTTTGCCTTCCCTAAAACGGGAGAACTTCATAAAAAAAAGGGACCGACCGTGTATGTGGCGGGTCGGTGCCGGCGCAGCTGCGGGGGCTGCAGGCTTAGATTAAAACAAAAAAGGTAGATATGGCACTAGCCTCACAAAAGTGATCCGCATCAATTGTGGTCCACGACCCTTATCGCTTTAGTCACAACTTGACATGCAAACGACGTACATGTGAACGCCAAAAAGAAATACTGCTAATATTTTGTGTTTATATGATAAAACAATCCTTAAGTGTGTTTTTAAAAAGTGTTCAAATTGCTCAAGAACTAAAAATAAAACCCACGGCATCACTTTTCATTCGTAAGTACTATAAAATATATTTTTTCATAAAAATTGTTGTTTGTTTTGAATCTTATTCGGTAGTGACGTCGAGTACTGGTCGCGTGATTGGTCGGTAATGCAGTGACGCGGATCTCGCCGTCCCGTTCCCGCTGCCGTTGAAACTTAACGTGCTGTTTCGTTCGGGTCGGTAATGCAGTGACGCGGATCTCGCCGTCCCGTTCCCGCTGGCGTGGGATCAGATTTTGTTTGATGCAAGTATGAGCGTACCGTATCTACCCTTTTTGTTTTAAACTAAGGCTGCAGGCGGTGCAGCGGCAGCGCGGTGCAGGCGGCCAGCATGCGGCCGAAGGCGGCGCTGGCCAGCAGCTGCAGCGCTCGCCGTATACTGACCGTGTATGTGGCGGGTCGGTGCCGGCGCAGCTGCGGGGGCTGCAGGCGGTGCAGCGGCAGCGCGGTGCAGGCGGCCAGCATGCGGCCGAAGGCGGCGCTGGCCAGCAGCTGCAGCGCTCGCCGTATACTGACCGTGTATGTGGCGGGTCGGTGCCGGCGCAGCTGCGGGGGCTGCAGGCGGTGCAGCGGCAGCGCGGTGCAGGCGGCCAGCATGCGGCCGAAGGCGGCGCTGGCCAGCAGCTGCAGCGCTCGCCGTATACTGACCGTGTATGTGGCGGGTCGGTGCCGGCGCAGCTGCGGGGGCTGCAGGCGGTGCAGCGGCAGCGCGGTGCAGGCGGCCAGCATGCGGCCGAAGGCGGCGCTGGCCAGCAGCTGCAGCGCTCGCCGTATACTGACCGTGTATGTGGCGGGTCGGTGCCGGCGCAGCTGCGGGGGCTGCAGGCGGTGCAGCGGCAGCGCGGTGCAGGCGGCCAGCATGCGGCCGAAGGCGGCGCTGGCCAGCAGCTGCAGCGCTCGCCGTATACTGACCGTGTATGTGGCGGGTCGGTGCCGGCGCAGCTGCGGGGGCTGCAGGCGGTGCAGCGGCAGCGCGGTGCAGGCGGCCAGCATGCGGCCGAAGGCGGCGCTGGCCAGCAGCTGCAGCGCTCGCCGTATACTGACCGTGTATGTGGCGGGTCGGTGCCGGCGCAGCTGCGGGGGCTGCAGGCGGTGCAGCGGCAGCGCGGTGCAGGCGGCCAGCATGCGGCCGAAGGCGGCGCTGGCCAGCAGCTGCAGCGCTCGCCGTATACTGACCGTGTATGTGGCGGGTCGGTGCCGGCGCAGCTGCGGGGGCTGCAGGCGGTGCAGCGGCAGCGCGGTGCAGGCGGCCAGCATGCGGCCGAAGGCGGCGCTGGCCAGCAGCTGCAGCGCTCGCCGTATACTGACCGTGTATGTGGCGGGTCGGTGCCGGCGCAGCTGCGGGGGCTGCAGGCGGTGCAGCGGCAGCGCGGTGCAGGCGGCCAGCATGCGGCCGAAGGCGGCGCTGGCCAGCAGCTGCAGCGCTCGCCGTATACTGACCGTGTATGTGGCGGGTCGGTGCCGGCGCAGCTGCGGGGGCTGCAGGCGGTGCAGCGGCAGCGCGGTGCAGGCGGCCAGCATGCGGCCGAAGGCGGCGCTGGCCAGCAGCTGCAGCGCTCGCCGTATACTGACCGTGTATGTGGCGGGTCGGTGCCGGCGCAGCTGCGGGGGCTGCAGGCGGTGCAGCGGCAGCGCGGTGCAGGCGGCCAGCATGCGGCCGAAGGCGGCGCTGGCCAGCAGCTGCAGCGCTCGCCGTATACTGACCGTGTATGTGGCGGGTCGGTGCCGGCGCAGCTGCGGGGGCTGCAGGCGGTGCAGCGGCAGCGCGGTGCAGGCGGCCAGCATGCGGCCGAAGGCGGCGCTGGCCAGCAGCTGCAGCGCTCGCCGTATACTGACCGTGTATGTGGCGGGTCGGTGCCGGCGCAGCTGCGGGGGCTGCAGGCGGTGCAGCGGCAGCGCGGTGCAGGCGGCCAGCATGCGGCCGAAGGCGGCGCTGGCCAGCAGCTGCAGCGCTTGCCGTATAGCGTCGCCCTTGTCCAGCCGCTGTAGGCACGCGTCGGTGATGCGCTCGTACCGACGCTGGTGCCGCGGCCCCACCCATTCCCACTCCACCTCTGTGCACGCAAACGTTTGTTAGGCTACTTTGAGATGTGAATACACCCTTCAAAGTATATTTACACTATACACGTAAAATACGATTTAAATTTATTCATTATATGAGGAAAACTAAAGTAACTTATATTTAAAACCGTAACCCTAACTAACTTACACTATGATATGTTTACATCTTATATCTATCAATAATTATTAATATCTAATATGGAATTTATAATAAGTACTATAATTAAATTTACAATATTTTATTCATTACATATCATGGTGTACCGGTTTGTCGATATATCGATAGCAATTATCGACACGCCCTACGCTCTAGCGGATAGTCTCGTACATAATTCTTTTGTCTATCTTATGTACTAGAGATGCGCGCGCGCCGCCGCGCCGTCTACCAAACCAGTCGAGACTGAACTACGACGCGGAGCGCACTGTAGAGATGTCGAAAGTTGAAAAAAATAACGATATATCGATACATCGATCTTTTAAAAAATATCAATATCGGCTTCGATATATCGCGAAAAAAACATCGATATATCGGACCAATTTTCCCAAAAATATCGTACAGTATCTCACGAAATATGACACGCGGAATAATAATGGAGCGAAAATTATCTCCCTAAAAATAGACCCTATTTCCGAATGATGAAAATGATTGCAGGGCCTCTCAGGTAAATGATTGGAATTTTGACTGCATCATTTTGATTTTCATCAAATGCTCCTCTGGCCGCACCATCTGCCACTTCGTTGCCAGTTATTCCACCAGGTAGTTTAGTAGGTTAGTTTTTAAGGTAATTTAAATAATACTCTTTTGACTCTGTTTCCTAAATCTATTAACAACTTCTTAATGTTAATCAAAATATAATTTGTACTGGATTTCTGTAAATTACCTTCTAAAGCTAGCAAGACACATTTACTGTCAATTAAAAAATTCAAACTATTTACATCAATAATATACAATAATGTTCTGAAAATGGCATAGCACTCTGCAGTAAAAATACTACACCTATAGTCTAATTTCACACATAACGTTTGTTTAGCCTGAGAGTCATAAAATGCTGAAGTTACATTATCTGATGTTTTGGACCCATCTGTATACATAGTATAAACATCTTGCTGTTCATGTAAATATTGCAAGAATTCAATTTGGTTAGATAATTTTTCCAAGACAATATTAATACTGCTATTTATTGTTTCATAACTTGAAGAAAAAATGGGTAAAGGTTTTGAAATTTGTACATTATTGCAGCTGTTTTTTTATATTCAATACAATTTTTATCATTTCCGGGAAGTGCTGGTCAAACTTGCAGGGAGGTTTTGACTTGGTAAAATTCTACTTAATACTAAATTATTATCAGATGCCAATAATTTAAGACAAAATTTCATTACAATCTGTAGCCTTCTTATTTTTAAAGGAACTATGCAGGATTCAGCTTCCATTGCATTAATTGGGGTAGAACACATGGCACCAGTGATAATTCTCAATGCTCTGTTTTGGATTATGTCTAGTTTTCTTAAAAGACTAACATTGGTGTTCATATATGCCACACTGCTGTAATCAAAGTGGCTTCTTACTATACTTTTATAAAGCATTGATAGAATTTTGGGATCAGAGCCCCAGTGTACACCAGCCAGAGATCGTAAGATATTTAGTCCCTGGCTAGCACTTTTAATCAAGTGATTAATATGTAGTTCAAATGTTAATTTTGAATCTAAATGTATTCCAAGGAATTTCTTATTATGCAGCCATCTTATAGGTACATTATTGAACAAAACTGGAGAAGAGTTATCTGTATCTACATGTTTCCTTGAAAAAATCATTGCTCCACTTTTTTCAATGTCAATTGTGAGGTTCAAACTATTATAGAAACATTGAATTTGTGACAGACCATTGTTTAGGTTTCTAACAACACTATTTACATCTTTATTTACACTATATAAAACTATATCATCAGCAAAAAGAAGGCATCTAACTGATGAATCTGTTAGATAATTGTTAATTTGAGATGTGTAAACCCCAAACAATAACGGAGATATTGGGGAGCCCTGCATTGTTCCTTTATAAACATTTCTATGGCCATGTAATATGTTATTATATACATTGTTCTGTTGTATAAAAAGTTAAAAATCCATTTACAAAATTTTCCAGGTATACCATTATCACTGAGGATTTGGATAAGAATAGATGGGTTAACATTATCAAAAGCACCACAGACATCAAGAAAAGTACAAGCAGTATATGAATGACTATGGAATGAATTTTTTATATCAGTAATAAGGGATACATAATTTTCCACTGCACTTCTACCTTTTCTGAAACCAAACTGCTGTTCAGGTAAAACGTTATGTTTTTCACAATAAAACTCTAATCTCAATTTAAGCATATTTTCAAATAATTTACCAATACAAGATGAAAGGGATATAGGTTGGTATGAATTGCAATCATTTTCTGGCTTATGTGCTTTTAATATTGGTATAACACATTGTGTTTTCCAACTGTTAGGGATGTACTCTTTATTTCATAGAAAATTATAAACTTTTAACAAAATGTTGAGTGCCTTAGGATGAGATTTACATATTAAATTATAAGAAAAGTCAGCAAGGCCAGGTGTTGTATCTTTTCTTGATTTCAGAGATGCCTTAAGCTCATTTATGTTAAAGGGTTGTATCAAAAAGCATGCTTCAATATTACCAATAGATTCAAAGATGTTAATAACCTTGATGTGTTTAAATCCTTTTCAGGAGGAGATATTGGGGCATATTTATCTAAGAAGGATGATATCCAGTCATCATTTTTAGAAGGCTTTTTGCTAGCAGCACGCTTGAATCGACGAATGTGATTCCAAATCATACTTATAGATCACACACAAAGTCTCCAACTATCTTTCTTTTTCTGACTAATTATTCTCTTTTTAAGGGCATCAACTTTTTTATACTCAATATAATTATTTATTGTAGGATCTGATCTATAGCTTCTTAAAGCTAATTTACTATTATTTACAGCAGTAGCACATTCCTTATCCCACCATGGCACTGGTTTTTTAATTTTATACTGATAATTATTTACAACCTTAGGAATACAGTTTTGTTTGAGATTATTCAATATGTTACAGAAGGAATTATATACATGAAAAGGATTATTATCAAAGTATAATTCATCAAATGCTTTTTTACTTTCAGAAAAATACCTGGACCAATCAGCTTGTTTATAGTTGTAGCGCTCAGTAGGAGTGCCAAGAACATACTTCTCAACAGATGTCTGAATATCAATCAAAGTGGGAAAATGATAGCTACCCATTGGATCATCATGTACAGTCGCCATCAGATATATCTGAGCATACAAGATGACCAAATACATCTGAACAGTTAAAATGTCAATAAGTTCTATACACTACAAGTGACCATTAATATCTGATCATTCATTACTTCAATAATATCTGAGCAGATGCCTGTCAATAATATCTGAACATACAACTTTTCAAAAATATCTGAACAATTTTAATAGGACCTCTTAATTATTTATTTATAATAAGATGACGCTGGCAGTTAAACACTTTCCAGTTTTTATTCTTATCACCTCTGTCATGTGTCATGCACAAATAAATTCAAGCAGCTTGCTTACGTATTAGTTCATACCATAAATTAACTATAATTAATATGAGTTCGTACCGTATTGATGCGGAAATGAAACATAAAATAATACAACTAAAAAATGATGGTTTATCCGTAAAAGATATCGCCGATGAGCTAGGGATAGCCGTAAGTATCACGGAGAAAAATGCTAAAAATCAATTGCCCACAAAACATGAAACTTTATTCACAAAGTATAAAATTGTATTTATTTCAGAGAAATACTGTATATTTATGGCTAGAAAGATGGCAGCAAGGAGAAACATTAAATAATCATGTTTCATTTGGTCGCCCGCGTATTACTACAAATAACCAAGACATAGCTATTATAGATAAAGCCAAAAATGACAGATTTATAAACACTACACAATTTTCAAGCACATTCGAAATATCCACTAGCACCATTAGAAGACGATTAAAAGAAGGAGGTTTAAAAAATAGAGTACCGGCAAAAAAACCAACTCTCACGCCAAGGCACAAAATGCAGCGGCTACAATTTGCAGCTAATTATTTAAATTTTAATTTTCAAAACGTTATTTTCATGGACGAAAAGGTTCTCTGCTCATCAGATAATGGGCGATTAAGTTTGTGGCGACCCGAAAACACATGTTACTTAGAACAAAATGTGCTGCCTAATCGCCGGAGTGGACGTATTTCAATTGGATTTTGGGGATGGATGTGCAAAGATGGTCCTGGTGAGCTTGTGGAAATAAGTGGACGAATGAATGCAATGAATTATAAGGAACTTCTGGAAGATACTTTTCTTCCTACAGCTCAAGTTTTTTATCCAGAACAACAAATGACATTCCTTCAAGACAACAGCTCAGTACATAATGCTCGTACAGTACAGACATGGATTAATGAACAGAGAGAACTAACTTTAATCAAACTACCACCAAAAAGTCCAGACCTCAATCCCATCGAAAACCTTTGGGGTAAAATGGTGCAAGAGTGGGATGGGAATCAATGTCGAACAACAGAAGCCTTAAGGCGACATGCAAATGATGTTTGGGAATCGTTCAGAGGTCGAGGTTTTTGTGAGAAGGTAGTTGGTTCCATGAGGAAACGTTTACAAGACGTATTAAATGCAGAAGGAGGTTACACAAAATACTAATGTTTCATGAGAAGTATATAATTGGTCAGCCTTTAAATAATTTGGTCGGCACAAAAAGATTTTGTAAGCAATTTAAAAAATCAGGCAGCAATCCTTGTTCGGCAAATAATTATATAATGGTCAAAAATTTAATATGAGAGTATACAAGATGGCTCATTTAAATGGGTCAGTATGGGAAAGTTTGAACTATAATATATACGAAGATCTGTTCTTAGGAACTATGTCATCGATTTTAATAAAAATTAAAACTGCATTCAT